CGTCTTTGCCTTTCAAGCAGCTGTTCACAAGCAAACAAACGCCGTTCAACATCTCTCGGCTTCAACTCGTACGGCACCCAATTTCCTTGCTTCTGAATCATTCCCATGACTTTGAGGCGTTTTGAAATGGCTTGTTGAGTCACTCCCAATGATTGTGCCAATTCTTCTTGATTTTGACACGAGTCTTGATCAAGTAATGCCTCCAATTCTGCATCTTCGAAAACCTTCTCTCTTGAACCGCTTGCCGGTCTTCGACGTCAAAATCACCGTTCTTGAAGCGTTGAAACCACTCACGTTTCACTAATAGCGGCCATAGGTATATCCTCACCAAAATATTTGAGAGCATTCGATGAACCTCAGCCGCAGATTTCTTCATATTAAAGCAGAAAATTAAAACCTTCCGCAAATGACGAGAATTTGGCTCGTAAACTGACATTTTCAACCAAGAATAACTTTATGATGCAAACACAAATTGACTAATGTTTCTATGGGGTTATGTTGACAGATGCCCAAGTTTATTGTATGACGTCTATAATCTATTTATTTCGACCACCTGTGGGAATATGTGACTCAATGGATAAGTCAGATTCTCTTGACAAGCCCACGCTTGTCGTGTAATGTGATAAAGACAATAATAATCGAGACTTTATTTGTAACTGGTAATAATAATATTTATTTCACGAGCACAATTTTATATGACCGTACAGGACGAACACCTTTATTGATCTGTTATTATAATATTTCTTTTTTTATTATTTTTACGCTGCTAGGCAACTCGTTACCAACATAATCCTTAAGCTTTCTACACTCGCTGCGCTAGTGAGGTATTAAGAATTCCCCACACACCACTTACCGTTAAAGCCATCTATAGGAAAACGGCGGAAGCAAAGTTGTACACCTAATATTTATGAATGGAGCAGAAAAAGAGATATTATCTCTCATATGTTGTAAAATTGTGTATATAAAATATAATAAAAATCTTTATTGTATACATTAATTTAACTTAATATATAAACAAGCATTATATTGAATATTGACCTGTTGTTAAATAAAAGTCGTCATATATTAATTCATTCTGAATAAAAAACGTCCAATATCATTCAACAAACAAGCATGAAAATTTTCATGTTTTTAATTACAAAAACTTATAAACGTAGTTATTTTCAATAATTAATAACTCAAAATATGTGGGTACTTGTAAAATGTACTAGGCTTTTTCTTACAATGACCGAATATACTCAACACTTATCATTAAATATCTTGTATGCCTATATAACATATGTTCATTATATTATGAGAAGCAAATATTAAATATATTATTTAATTATAAAAATAGTATAAAATCACAGTATAACATTATTATAAAACAAAATTTTTTTATCATAAAATAATTATAAATTTTTATATTAACTGAATTATGACATACACCTTAATAAATATTTTTACGTAATTTTGAAGGAAAAGGAATATGAGGTTGATGATGTAAAAATATGTCATTGTTAAGTTCAATATACATAGTTAAAGATTTAATATATTTTTTAATATTTTAAAATGCATATTTTTTTATAGGAACTTGCACGGGTAACAAATAATAACGATATTATTTTATTAATTATGATATATAAATACTTTTAACTTACATAAAGAATGACCAGATTTGTTAAAACTTAAAAAAAATAAACGAACATAATAAATAAATGAATTATTGTGCTAATAATATATCATAATAATTAATTTTAGTATAACCTTTTGCGCTTTTAAATAGCATTATTTTTTATTTAATGCAACTAAAAAATTAATTGTTTTCATCAATATCTAAAATAATGAATTTATATTTCCTATACTTTCCTAGATTAACATTGCTTATTAATATTTATTTACATATAGGTATTTTACATATATTGGGTCATCTAAAAAGTATCCGCGGTTTTTTTGTCACTAGATGTGTGTTGATGGTCATATATCTAGTGACAAAGTACCGCGGATACTTTTTAGATGACCCGATAGATTTTTTTTAAATATCTTTTTTTCTTTACTGTTTAATGTCTTGAATTTTTTTCTAATAAAGATAAAAGCTGCTCTCTTTGATTATAATTTTGATGATGCCTTTCTCTTTATTCTATTAATTCTTCCATCCAGGCAGATGTTTTCGATTTTCTTTTTTTATTTGCCTGTTCTTTAAAACATTAGTTGATGTTAAATTTAATACATTTTGTTTGTTTTCTCATCAGATGAATGTAAAATATTTTTATTTATTGTAAAACCACGTATATTAGATGCAATGAACAATGATGCAATTGCAGGATTTTGTCCTAACATATCATTAATAATATCAAAATATTCCCAAGTTTGTTTTGCTGTCCTAGTTTGTTTCTTTGCATCTTTAATTGCTTTGTATACTTTTTTTTCATACTCCATTTAATGTAACAATTGTCAGCAGTTAAGTTATATCCATGGATGTTCATAGATGCAGCAATATTTTTCATACATTTTTTTCAATTTTCCATAAAAGTTTGTAGAGGTTTCTGTATTTATTTGTATTTCTGCTAACAATAATTTTGTCATGTCATCAGTCCATTGAACTCTGCAATTAACTAAATTAAAAAATGTTACTATTTGAATAGATAACAACAATTAAAACTTACATACAAGAAAAAGAACCGTTATTTTTGGTACTATCTATATAATAACGACTAGACAATAAGAAACTGTAACTAGACGTTACAAAGATTAGAAGAATTACTTTCGAAAAGTAACTTGTCACTACTATGCATTATTTATTTAAAAAAAATAACTTATTTTTAACGCGTCGAGCTGTTACTTTTATCTTTAACTCATTCCAAGTAATGAGTTAAAGATAAAAGTTACTTTTTTCCAATAAATGTGTGATGATGACAAATTAATCTTCGAAAATTATCTTCTTCCAACTTTAAAGTTATTGTCATAAAAATTTGCAATGTAAATTATCAAATCGTTATTAGAAAAAAACGGTAAAAGTAATAATGTTATTTTTATCCCTGCTTTCATATAATTATGTATATATTTAAGAGAAATATACATACCAACATTGTTTGTTTCTTCAACAAATTTATCTGCAGTAAACATTTTGTTCTACTTGTAATTAAGTAAATTTCTGCAATGCCCAATTCGAGGTGATGTCCATCTAGAAGTGAAGAAATTGAGCATAAATAGGTTAACTAACTCAACTCATGGCATACAAGACAGCGTTGAGTTATCATGAATCATGAAAGTACTAGGTAGTCTGTCATATTTTCGGTCTTAATGGAACTAACTCAAACTTGGGTTATCGGAAGCACCCTTCGTAAAATTCTTTCTTTTAATTAATTAGTCTATCAAATGCTTCAAAGCATTTGTAGCGAGACTTTGAGCACAACTATGGTGCTACTACTAATGCAGGAATGAATTCGCGTAACTATACTCTTGCATTTGTATTCAAATCATTTTTATATGTATTACAATAGTGCACTAGCAATGCCACTACTCGTTCCAGCAATGACATTATTGCATTAATAGTGACATTATTCGTTCCAGCAGTAGCACTTGTATATTACTGCATTACTGCACTAATAGTGTCACAACTCATCTCAGTAGATACTACTAGTAACACTAACGCGAATTTATAATTACACTTCTACACTAGTCACGAGTAGAATCAATATTCATAGTAGTGACACTAGTAGTATATTTTTATGCGAGAAACGTAATCAAACGTAACAAGCAACGCGTAGTAAATATGGTACGATAAAAATGCCAATCGGAATGTGCCGGAAATGATGACAGCCATATCGAATATCAGTTCCTCATTTCCTGTGTCATATAAACTATACTAGATCACTAGATCTATAAAGTACCGCAAACTCGCATCCATTTTCATGCGAAATGCGGCCATTTCGAATTTATGCATTTGTATTACGTGCTTTATTTGGGAAAATGAAGCCGTCAAGTATGTAAATCAAAGTTTTTTAGTTGTAATTGGTTTATTTATGAACAAAAGAATATGTACGAATGCTCAATTTATGTGTTCTTTAGTTTAATATGGATTTATTTATTATAGAAGTTTTGTGCATAAAAGTGCACGAAGGATACGTGTAAGTTCAGAACTGTTCAACAATACGAAAGTACACATCACACGCCAAATAACCTATTTCACGGTACTGTTTTTACACTTAGCACACAACAACTTGGCATTATTAACTTTAACAACACGATACTGATAAACTGGAAAAAAACCTTTTTCCAAGAAGAGGTTTTTATTGTGTTAATATCAACATAATGATGATGAATTTGCGCCTTCAACCTCGAGAGTGACACTTGAAAATATTTCGAAAATGTACGGTTAGGTTAACTGCACCCAATTGATCCAATGTGGTGTATTTCAAATCGTGTACTATGTGCACTTCGGCCATTTTTACGCAACATTTCTGAAATCAGTTGCGGTACTTTATAATTTAGTGACTTTAGTGTCATAGTTAGGCGCGCTACAAATGTTGGTAACGGAAAAACCATGGCAGTTGGTGGCTCTGGCTAATACAATACAATATTACAATACATGGAGTGCGGTTTGCGGCACGGGCTAGTGACAACTCACATTAGTAGAAATTTTTTTAAATATATTAATTTAGTTTTACACACATTTTATCGATACTCTTATTTTTTTAACAGATTTACTTAATAATTGCGTTTAAATTAATCCCATTAAAAAGTGCATAGCAGTGTATAATAATGTGAGTTTGTTACTAGCCCGTGCCGCAAACCGCGTTCCATGTAATATCAGCGAAAGAAATAGGCAGTACGTGGTACGCGGTTACAGTACAATCATGATTATGGCTGTATTCAAAAATTGACTGCCAGTATTGAAAATCTATAGTGCACGTAACGTAAATTGTAACATTTTCAGTGCTGGTAGTAGATTTGGAACACGGCCTTATACTGACGTGTTTCCTAGTTGCCTAGTTAGTTACTGTACCGCGTATCGCGTACTGCGCTCCAGTTAATGTAATCGTATCTCAGTTGGAATTCTGTAAAGTTATTAGAATGGTTAAGGGGCTCTGCATAATAAAAGGAACAGAGAACAGAGAATAAGGGTGAAGTCACATGGTGCGGAATAGAAAATGCGTCATAGAAGCAACCAATCAGTGTTCTTCTTCTGCGTTATTCCGAAAGCGCTAATTGGTTATTTCAATGACACATTCTCTATTCCGCAACCCTTTTTCGCACTGTGTGATTTCACCCTAAGAATTTCAACCTATCAGAAATCATGTATTGTGGAATATATAGTTTTTGATAGGTTGAAATTCTTATTTTCTGTTCTCTGTTCCTTTTATTGTGCGGAACCCCTAAGTTAATCGGAGCTTGATTAAAAGTCACCCTTTAATCTTTCGCATTGAGTCACTTTTAATAAGCAGTTTTCGTAGTGAAGATTCGAGTATAATCTTTGGATTTTAGTATCAAAAAAGCAAATTCGGCAATCAATCGAGTCGAGTTATATACTAGGCTTGTGGCATCTGACCAATAAAAAGGAAGAAGGCAACGAAAAAGATAAATATAATTCGACGCAATTTTATTAGTTTTATCTGCTGTTGAAAATTGTTGATATTAAAATACATATTTTTAGAAGTGAATATTTTAGTGTTTCGCTTTAAGATGAATCGAAAGGATCGTGAACAAATAGATCACTGCTGCGAAAGCATTGTGTCCAAAATTGATCTGACGAAACTCTTACCAAAATTATTGGAAAACAAAGTTTATAACAGAGACGATGTAAATATTCCACGGTGGTCGGTAAGTTTTATTCATGAAATATTACAGTTGTATACATAATGGCCTCATTCTCGACATTAATTTCTAATACTTAAGCATAAAGTATATTACAAAAAACTAAAAGAGTAAACATTGAATTTGTTTGCATCACATGCTTCAACATGTTCCAACATGTTCTACCATAGCAAAGCATTTAGTGAATAGGAGCAAATAATAACAAGTAGTAGCAAGTAGGAACATGTTGGAGCATGCAAGACAAACTTATAATGTTTGCTCTTTTATTTTTTGTTAAGATTTAAGATAACTATCCCAATTACTGTACCTGTCCTTATTAATGTGCTTTTGTATTTCGATAAGTCATAAAGAAAACTAGCACAAATAAATAAGAAAAAATATTTTTTTTAAGGTAAATTATTAACGCATACCACGATACCGAAGATAATATTTTATTTTTTGAGTATTAAAATATTTTAAATAGTTTTCGAAAGATATAAGGAATTTATGTAAATTCAGTAATATGTACCACAAGATTTTAAGCTTGTTCCTATTAATGTGTCCTGTATTGAAGCTGAGAATGTCATGAGTATAAAATAAAAATAATAAAACGCTACGAATTAATTCCAACACCTAATACATAAATCATAATTTCAATTATATTTCAATTTATTTTTATTTATAATATATATTAACATAATAATTACCTTAAATTTATTACTTATTTTAGTAACTATATGTTCAAATATGGATAGGCACACAAATTGGGGACACATTAATAGGGCCATCGCCGCTTAGAGGACTCACTAATAGGGACAAAAACATGTTTTTTATTTTTGTCAAAAACATTATAAAGTATTAACATTTTTTAGATTAAAGAAATATTATAAGAAAAAGAGGTTGAAAAAACAATATTGAAAATTTAAACAGATAAAATTGAAGTTACAATATTTAATAATTAATTCAGTAATAAGCAAATTAATTAAAAGACACGTTAATAGGGACAGTTATCCTGTATGAAAATATATCTTCCTAATTAATTTTTTAAAATAAAATTTATTAATTAGGAAATAGAATTCTTTGAATTATTTCTTTTATATTTTAAAAATAACCTGAATTGAATTAAGGCATTATTTTCTAGCCTCCAACTGGATATATAAACAAATAATATCTCAATATACAGTTTATAATATATATATTTAAATTATTAATATAAATAAAACCTGCAATATAAAACTTTAGATATATAACTATATATATAAAGAATGAGTCATTTATGAGTCATCTTTATTTTTGTTAGTAGAAATAGACAATAGATATAATAAAAAAAGGAATTATATTGAAGTGTAATATGTATTACATAAATAAAAATGTAATCAAATGTATATTATATAGATAGATATCTGATTATAGAAGAATCTTGGGGCACAAAGTACAGTCAAAGATGTATTATTGACAATTAAAACACGAGGACCGAATGCATTCCAAAATTTGATTCTTAGTCTAAGACAGTCCAACCATGAAGATGTAGCAGATATATTAGAGAAACAAAATAATGCAAGTAATAATATAAAGTATGTCATGATTTTTTTTTCTTTTTCTTTGTTAGTTCTTATCTGATCCAACATAGGCTTCTTGCTACATATTTGATGTATCTTTTCATGTATGTAATAAATCTTCAGAAATATTTACCCAGCAAACGAGAATGGATTAAAATGGATTGAAATTTTTTTCTATCCGAATGCGTATTTTAAAAATAGCGAATACCTTTTTTTGGATTTAATTGGATTCACTTGGATTCAATTAGATTCAATTGGATTGAAAAACTGCATTTCCTATTCAAACTTTTGAATTGAACAGTATTCACAATTGTGTTTGTGTGCACAGAAAAAGCTAATATTATTTTTCGATTGAAAGGCATAGAGATATGTTCCATGCAATTCCTATAAATAAATAAAAATGTATTCAGAATTGAAAAACATTCATTTTAACATTCGTGAATCAATATTTCTGAAAATCTGAATCCATTTCAATTGATTTCAATCCATTCTCGTTTGCTGGAAATACTACGCCTGAGCCGTAGAAGGTGCTATATCGAAAAAAGCATGAAGAAAGATCTATGTAAGTAGTATCAAGAAATGAATGAAAAGCGATCTATTTCGCGTAAGATGAGTAGAAGATCAGTCTGTATCAGAAAGCATATGAAGTACGATTTATATCGAGAAAGTGAAAAGAATGATTCAAGTCACATGAAATTAAAGAAGAAGTTATATAGCGCAACATTTTATTCTCATAAATTTTATGTGGTATGACTGAGAACGGGAATCGTCTTGATTTTCAATCCTGTTTCTCACACTCATTCATATATTAATTAATTTCTTCATTCTTCTCACTTTTTCGATATAAACTGTATTTCGTATGCGTTCCGACATACACCTTCACGCCTTATGCGAAATAGATTGCTTTTCATTTATTTCTTAACATAAGACCTTTCTTCATGTCTTTTTCGATATAGCACCTACGACTCAGGCGTCGAACATCAATTCATTCTCTTTTTCTAAAATCTCATTTATGTAACTTTTAAGTTTCAGGCAAGAAAATCCGTTAGATCATCATATTTTTTCTGACGAATTTTTTTCTGAACCTTTAATAATCGAAGTATGTAAAGCTACAAAATTCTTAGATTGTGAATATGATCTCATTGAGCGATATCCTATGCGAAGTAAACCTCGTGGATTGGTTTTGATAATCACTAATATTTATTACGAATTATCCTATGAAAAACCTAGATTATCGGCAAAACATGACAATAATAATTTAAAGAAATTGTTTGAAGAAATGGGTTTTACAGTTGTTATCTATCTAAATTTAACAGGACAGGTAAGGTAATTCAAGTATATTCAAAATGCAAAAATATATTTTTCATTTTATATATATATATATATATATAGGACTAATCTAAGAAACATGCAGTTAATATCAAATTATTTTTTTCCTTTTTATCAGGCAATGAAAGATATAATTAAAGAATTTTCAAAAAGAGATGATCTAAATAAGGTCGATTCATGTTTTGTGATCATTACAAGTCATGGTATGGAAGACGAAGAGAGTAACACAGAGATCCAAGGTATTGATTATCATATCGCAAGCAGACAAGCAAATTATGAAAAAGTTCTGTGCACAGAAGTCTGTGATTATTTTACCGCAGAAGCTTGCCCTCAACTCGCAGAAAAACCAAAAATATTTATTTTTCAACTTTGCAGGTATAAAAAAGTATTCTATAATAATATTTATATTTTTGTTGATTTTTTCTAATTTTTTTACTTTTTATTGAATTGAAAATTTAGAAAAAATTAGTATCATTTTAAAAACATCTGGTCTTCTGATCGTTTGTCTTAATTTTTGTCTTTCTTATATCTTGCTTTATATATTTCTTTTTTCATATTCTTTATAGAGGGAAGAAAAAACAAAACGGTGTAATTCACTCCAGAATCACTACAGACTCTTGTGCAATGAAGTCAACAAATGAAACCAATATAGAAATACCTCGCATTCAAACAATAAGAAATTATTCAGATATGCTTATAGTTCAATCTACTTTGCCTGGATATGTTTCTTATCGAGACTCCAAAACTGGTAGTTGGTTTATACAAATTCTTTGTAAAATGTTCATGAAACATGCTCACAAAAATCACGTCCAAGATTTATTTAACATGGTAAATATTATGAAATATTTAAATATGATGGTAAATAGTACAATGATCTACAATTATAATTTACAGATTGATGCAGAATTGAAAAATCTTAGAACAACAAACCACGAATGTCAGACGTCATCTGTACAGTCATTGGGATTTAATAAACATTGTTATCTTAATCCCGGTCTTTTCATGGAATCGTGACAAAAGAAAGAACAGTTTGACGTTTCATTGTGTAAGCGAAAATATGCAATATTTTCATACTCTATCACGAATATTTTAATACATTTAAATATCAGTACTATTTTATATAAACAGTGTATTAAAAAGTAATATTCTAATCATGTCTGTATTATTAATCAGATGAATATTCGTAAAGTGATATTTTTTTTCTAGTTATTCTGCAATATTTACCACATAATCACATGAAAGTAAAAATGAAGAAACAATATGAAAGAAATGAAAGACAATAAATTAATATATGTAAAAAAAACTTCAGAAAAAGGACATTCAATTGCAGAATATAAAATATTATATCGTGAATCATGACACTTTTTAATTATATAAATTTTTATATAAACTATACAAAAATGAATCATGTCTCTATCTATTTTTCCATTCCTTAATATGTGTAATCAAGATTAGCAGTAACACGTTACTTTGTTAATCGTTACCTTGTTATAATAACGATTTGATAATAACATTGTGTATTTTTTATGACGGTAATGCTAACATCAGAAAAATCAATCGTTACTTATAATGGATTGAAAAAGTCATTTGTTATTGAAAAAAATAACTCCTTTTTCCATTAATTTGTAACGCATTACTTGTAACGAGTAACGTTAAGTGTTACTCGTTACTTATTATTTTTTTTAGTAAGTAACGCGTAATGATGACAAATTATTTTTCAAAGTGACTTTTCTAACTTTAGCACCTTAGCGTTTAGTTACCGTCATAAAAAATTGCAATATTGTCATCAAATTGTTTACTAAAGAAAGTAACGACAAAGTAACTGAAGAATAATGTTTGTCAATCCTGGTAATTATCTTGTTAAGAAAATATAATCGATTTTTTTTACATTTGACTATATAAAAAAAGGTTATGTGTGTGCGCATGCGTGCGTATATGTGTACAGAGTGTCCCAGATTAATCGCCAAATATTTTGTGCACAGATAGAGCGGGCTAAACTGAGTCGAAAAAAATCCTCTACAATTTTGCAATTATCGAAATAGTTAATGAGATATTAATTACTAAAAATCACCGAATATTGATTTTCAATAATTTTTTTTTTACTTAAGTACTATCAACTTTACAGAAAAACAGCAAGAAACAAAATTGTTTATTTTATAAAGCTTGTTGTTTTTCTTGATAATACTCGAGTAAAAAATTGTTTAAAATGAATATTCGGCGATTTTTAGCTATTAATGTCTTCTTAACTTTTGCGAAAATTGTAAAATGGTAAAAGACTTCTCAACTCGGTTTAGACCAATTTACCTACGCACAAAATATTTAGCAGTCATTCTGGAATACCTTGTATATAGTTTATTTTCATTTTTTTCGCACTTTGCAAGCTTGAAACAAAATCTATTTTGAGTAGCAAATACCATATTCCATGTAATCTCGTGTGTTCATTCTATATTTATGATTTTATCGCGACAAAGTGTAAACATTTACAAAAAGGAACTACTATTTATATTTCATATTATTTAATAGCTTAATTTGTCTTCTAAGCTCATTATAAATACAAATTACAAACGATGTAATATTCACTTCACTAAACTAAATCCACTTCGATCACTCATTTATATTTTCTTTATAAGTGCTTGAATTATATAATTGGCAAAATTATATACAACTTCGCTATACCGCATAGCGTCGTGACATACTCATGTAAAGAAATTATGTATGTGTATAATGCTCAAATATCGAAATTTTACACGTCAATGAAGTTTATAGAATAAAATATGATATTTCAAAAGAAATGTAAAGTTTCTATTGAGAAAATTAAAAAAGTTCCTTAATTTCTTTATTCTTAAAATCTAACTGATACTTCTTATATATTTAGTGACAAACAAAAAGTCAATGAACTTAAATATACGAATAAGTTAAGTATAATCTATGTAATACAACTTCATAGAGTTTAAGTGTAGCTATTTGTTTTATTTATAGTACCATACTTAATTGATAGAATGAATGATGGATTAATGTCAAGGCAATTGAGTTGTGTCAATAGGAGGAGGAGATGAATTTTACTTTATTATTATATTTCTGACTTATGTTTGTGTTGAATTATTCCGTAAGTACAGCGCGTGAAACCGTGCCTATTAGTACAAGGATTGCGCGTTGGATGAACGTGGTCGTTTGATCTTTTCCAGATTTTTGATCACGAGATCGTGTAGTGAACAATAACGATTGCGAACTTCACACATGACAAGCCATAAGCTTACATACTCCTTTTCGTCTAGTTCTTGAATCGCTCTTCTATAATCAATGATGTGTGGATATTTCGCAACTTTACTAATAATCTTTCCTCTAGAGATAAAATATCTGTAAATATAAAAGAGTTCAAATAAGATTTTTAAATTAACTATATGTTAATTTAATCAGCATTAATATGTATAATAAATGTTAAATACTACTTGAACAAAATTGACTGCACATAGACATATATTTGTACGTTATTTTTTCTTCACATTACCTAGAAATTTGATCGAAAAATGCTGCGGCTTCGCTTTCAACTGATTGAATTTCAGATAATGTATCTTCTTGAATAGATACTCCAAAGTTATTCCCGTCTTCGATTTTTGGAATTAAAAAAGAAATCCACATTTTTAGCTAGAAAATTAAAAATAATTGATGAATTTAAAAAATATATTCAATAAATGTTTGAAGAATTATATTAGTAATAATGAAAAATTAAAATTTTGTAAGTATAATAAAGTACAGGGTTGGCCATATTCGACGGAAAGATGTTTTTTTTTTCAATCATGGGAAACGTCGTTACTCGATCTAACATCTCTGTCAAAAGTTACAGTGTTGCCAGATCTTTCCGTCGAATATGGCCAACCCTGTATATTACACAACTTCATAAATTTTTATTAATAAAATTTCTAACAATGTATATATTATTCTTTGTATAAAATAATAGCCGTTATAAAAATATAGATCTAGTTTAGATATAAATCGCGGTGTACTTAATACTTACTAAATTAGAATCCTCCAAAAGTTGTCTAATGTAGGGTTTAACTATGTGAATCAAATCACACAACTTTTTATTGCAGGGAACAGAACCATTTGGAAGTATCAGAACTTTGGTTCCACTGGTTTCTTCTCCATTATTGTCCAATTTAAGCTTTTTTGTAGCAGGAGCTTCTTCGGAATGATTAAGAATTATAGGGTCTGGAATGGGTACATTTAAGTCTTGGTGTACATCTGACAACTTTCGATTACAAAATCCGGGTGTCTCTAATAATTCATTTAATTTAACTATTTTCTCCGGAAATCCTTTCACCAACAATTCTTCCGCCTGAATAAACAAATATAAATAAATGTAAATATAAAAAATATATATTGTAATCTCTGTAGTTTGATATACATATTATCAAGTAATGTTTTTGAATCTAAAATTATAGATTTATCAATAAAAAGAGAGAAAAAGATTACCTTGGTTATAAGAGACTCCTTATATTCCTGAACCTGTAAGGCAAACTCAAAAAATACACTTTGATACGATGATTATATATAAATATTAAGTGACTTTAATTTAATCTTCATATTTCTAATTTCTCATAATACATATAAAGCTTTACACAATACTTTACATTTAATAATTTATAAATAATTTATATATGATGTTGTATAAACAGTATAAATTTATAAAATATATCTAATAAAAATATCTATAGTATCAATGTTCAGATAATAAATTATAATACAATAATCAAATACAATAGAGAACGTCATTAGAGGTCAAAGATGTTTCGAATAATACAATATATATTCTTTATTAAATCAATTTATTTCAGATATGATTGCTTGCTGATAATTGTTGGACTTTCAGCATAATCAATCTGAAACGCTAACAATTCTTCCCTAAATTAAATTAGAAAAGCTGTAAAGAACTTATGAAAAATATTACCTCAGTCACAGGGGATTATTAGCGTTACAGATTGATTGTGTTGAAAGTCCAACAATTATCGGCGTGCCATCATATTTAAGATAAATTGATTTAATAAAGAATATACATTCTATTATTCGAAACATCTAACTTTGATCAACTTAATGGTGTTCTCTATTATATTTAACGTATTCATGTATATAGTCATTCTTAGTCTTAATATTGTTTAATAAATAATGATGGTAAAATATGTCAATTATGTTTATTCTGTATATCCATAACCTCATTTTCTGTGTAACCACTTGGTAACACATTATTTGATCCATTCCTTGCATTACTTAGATTAGAATTCCCAGAAAATGTAGAAAACATTACAGAAAAATCAAATAGCAATTTAAATAATACAAAGAAGAGATAAAAGAAACTTTTAGACGGGAATTTTTCTATAAATTTCAACTTGTATTTAACTATTTAGATGACTAGATACAATTTTAATAGGTTATGACAAATTATTCAATTGTTTTATATAAATGTATGTATGTACAATGTACATTTGTATAAAATTTAATTTGTATAAAATATATAATAGTAACCTATTATTATAACAAATTTTTTATATCATTTAAAAAATTGTTCCTTTTATATGGTTATAGATTTGTATTCTACAGATAGAAATAATTAATAATAAAGATAAAATTATATACATATATATATATATGTGTATATAAATTTATGTACAAAGCAATATAATATAAAGTATAAAAACATTATATAAAATATCAAATATTGAACATTTTTGTATATATATCTCATGTATAGATATAAAAAAATATTTTATTATATTTTAATAATAAATATATTTTAATAATAAATATTTGAATTCTCAATGAATTTCTAAATATCAACAAGATTGTCTTTGAATTAATTTTACTTGAACATACATATTTAGGTGTTGTACACACATGGTTTATAAAAATGAAAAAATTTAGTTATATGTATATAATATTAAATTGGATAGACTCAAGGTAATTCCTAATCATAAAATTTCAGTTTAGTTTACAATCATTTTTACGTTTACTATTTATTTAAAAAAAATTAAAAATAAGCTTAGGTCTATTCAGAATGCGTTTTTTTTATCGATAAAAGCACGCTTTTACCTTTGAAATTTTATAACATGCATAATGTAAAGTATAGTATATTAGCGTGCTAATGTCATTGTAAGCGCGTTTTGAATACGGGCCTTAGTTTACATCGTGCACTTAAAATGGATAACTAGTAACTTTCTATTGAATTATCTTAATTTTGGCGATACTTGTAAACATATACACGAGATGTATATTTAATTAATCATTTTGATATATATTGTGCAATTTAGTACAACATTCTTTGAATTATATTGCTGAAATTAAAATAATTTAATAGAAAGTTACTAGTTAGTACGTGTATCAAGTGATGTAAACTAAGTTATAAACTCTTCATTTGAGAGGAGAAACAAGTTTTATCAACATCAAGATCATTACTTTTTAGGAATTATAGCATATACACTATAAGTTATTGTGATGTATCTGGTTATATATGTGTACGTACCTAGTAAACAAGAATGGATTAAAATGGATTGAATTTTTTTCTATCCGAATGCGTATTTTAAACAGCAAATACTTTTTTGTGGGTTTAATTGGATTTAATTGGATTCAATTAGATTCAATTGGATGCAATTGGATCGAAAAATTGCATTTCCTATTCAAAATTTTGAATTTAACAGTATTCACAATTGCACAGAAAAAGCTAATATTATTTTTAGATTGAAAGGCATAGAGATATGCTCCATGCAATTCCTATAAATAAATAAAAAAATGAATAATAAATTTTTATCTCGATAAAAATGCATTCAGGATTGAAAAGTCATTTTAACATTCGTGAATCAATATTTCTAAAAATCTGAATCCATTCCAATTCATTTCAATCCATTCTCATTTGCTGGGTGTGTGTATGTTTTAATAGTTACGCAAATGGTTATTGCAGCAATTTGCATAAAGAATTAAAGAAAAGATGTAAGTAACTGAAACTAACGACATCATCCTTTTTTTTACAACAATGCTCAACATTAAAAGCAATCTTCAACATTATTGATTGTTAATTAACGTATTAAACTATTCATTAAACTACTGTTAATAGCATTGTCAAGATAAAATTTGATGAATGACATATGTCATCTCATTCCCGCGAAAAACGAATGAAAAACGTGTATGCGGATGCGGAAGCTGAGCTAACATTTTCATGAAAGAGGTTAAGCTGTATACGTTTCTCAAAGGTTTTTTTTTCTCACTATACCCGATAGTTGCAGTACATGACATATATGTATATGCGGTAGACAAGACAGAGATCGAGAGGGGTCGAACGACGATGTCGATCTCGACGATAAAGTTCGGAGTGTCGCGAGAGGCAGACGCAACACAACTATCATCAATTAGTCGCGTTAAACCGGCTTAACCTAAACGAAACATCCTTATTGTCGCTCCATCGAATTCGGCTGCTCATTTCCTCATCTGTTCGCATCGACAACGCGATAATCAACGGCACAATCAAGAAGTTTTACCTTTTCCGTTGTAGCATTTTCCTTCTCCATCATATTTCTTGTACGAAAAATTGCTTTCTAAACCTAAACACTTATGTCCCTTTGTTAAAACGTGCAAGATCAAACAGGAAGGCGCTGCTGTCGTTATGTTCCTTCACTTCTCTTGTCGTCAAGCGACCAATTCTCTTCTTTATAAATCTCTGTTTGTCCTTAATTATATTTTCCGATGCTCTTTTCTTGCATCTAAAATAAAATAAAAAATATATTTCACCTTTTCGAAAAGAAATGAAAAGGAAAAACGGGACATGAAATACAATGCTGGAAGTACCGTGGATGTCGCTGCATGCGCATGGTCGAAAGCACAATCGATTTTTCAAATGAGAATCGCGCGAAAACATCGAGATTGCGAGAGAATGATTCAGCAACTCTGAAGTATTCTGATGCGGTTACGAACCGCAAAAAAAATTCAACGCCAAAACAGTCCATTGTATTGACCTTTGATCAATTATGTATGTACATATCTCGATAAAACGATCGTAACAGTGTAAACTATATTAGTAAATTTTTCACGAAAAATTATTGATAAGATTTGTGCAACAACCTATCTTAAGAAACAATGGAGCCTTTGTGAATGTGACAATCAGTCTTGCATTCTGATAATTGCTATCTCTCTGAATTCAAATATTCGAAAAGAAAACTCAAAGTATATGCATTTCTAGGTACTTGAAACTACAATACAAAATTTAAACTATATTTCACTATCTCAATATGTCCATTTTAACATTTTTTAATTAAACCAATATAAAGCAAGATAAGTATAATTGATTTTTTGTATAGGGCATATAAGTAAAGAAATAAATGAATAATTTTTTTATCTTTTTTTATATTTAATGTTTTTTTCGGTGTTGACATTTTTTTTCACTTCCTTGATTATTTATGCTCGCGCGTGCACGCGAAAAATAATTTCAAAGACGCGGAATTAGATCTCAAGCAAATCGATTATTACATATTTATCATCTTTTAAACAATTCCTACAATTAATAAAAGCGATCCTATACAAACGTATTGGTAAATGAGCACTTTTTGTTCACGACATTTGCCATGCCATTCACATTAATTACGAGAAAAATACAGTTAATCGACAGTATTTAATGAGTAACTAATTATTAATGGTTATAATAATTGCGATAGATTTTTTCTTGTATAAATACATGTTAAATAGGGCTAGGTGAGTTTCTTGGCTTTCTGATAAAGTGTATCGACGACTTTTCCCATGCTGTGTATCGTGTCTAATGCAATTTCGTAGGTCTTGTCACGTGGTGCATCTTCGAAAACAATTAAAACACCTTCTCCTTGATCGAGAACCCCTCGTAGCTTCTTGTCCAGAATCATCTGCGACAGTTTCTTTTCTACTTGCGCCAATGGCAGAGATATACACGAAGCAATATGACTCACCTTTGAAAAAAAAACCATATATAAAAGAATAAGAATTATTTTATTAAATATTATTGTTTTTAAAATTTATTTTTTCAAATTACTTAATGAATCAATATGAATATTTGATTTCTTCTCAGGTTTAATTTTGTCATTATTTCCTACAATTGGAACATTAAACACTTTGGCAATTGAAATAAATTACATTTTAAAAAGCCAAGTTCTGTCGTAGTGCGAATTATTTAATTTTCGATAATTAATAAGTTTGCGTATATATAACATATATTTTTAACGTATATATAACATATATTTTTTTTACATATACATTTATCTATTTTTATTGAGAAGAACTCAATTGATATAATTGAAATAATTTATAGTTGCAAAGAAATTTAAGAGTTTTCATGTATTTGTATAGATACCTGGACTCGTGAATAAGGTTCGACTAAACGACATAAATTTTGCTCCAGCATAGCATCATAGAGAGAACCAAGATGTGCGCGTACAATTACATCGTCTTCCAATTCTTGTCGATATTGTTTAACCGCCTTCTGAAAATCTGCTAACGATCGTCGATGACTGGCTTCGGCTACTGCCCGCATCGCATCTAGATCCAATCCCGCATATTTTACTGTCAGTTTGCCGGACATGATAGCCTGAACATCTTCTGGCGTACGCAACATGATTTTAGACAATAACATATATTTGAGCGCCGTTAGCGCCTTGGGACTTTCAACACTGTCATACCTAAAAATAAAAACACAAAGATAGTACATATATCATATAATAGGCAAAAACAGATATATTTGAAATACTGATTGTAATACCCTTCGAAAGCTTCGTAAAAGTAAGAGTAAGCAGTCTTAAAATCTCGTTCGTCTGCAGCGTGTAATATACCCGATTGAAGATCCAGAGCCGCTTGCATCTTGGGTGGACAGTAAATTGCATTGGCAGTTGTCCTCGCGCTTGTAAGCGCTGCCCTTGCTTTTGCTAAATTACTCAATGCATGATATGTTTTGCTCTCTAATAATTGAACTTCTACTAATAGCTGTTTGTCATCAAGTTTTTTGAGTTCTTTGAGGAGAGCAGATCCCAATTGCAATGCTTCACTGAACATGCCCGTGTCAAAGTAAAGGGCTATTAAGCGTGCTTCTAATGATTGCCTTAAAAATGTTCTGCGTTCCTCTTTTGCCCATTCTATGCATTCTTTACACAATTGCACCTAAATATATAATGCATGTAAGTATTATATTCCTTATTTTATTTTTTATAAAAGTTTATTCTTTTTTTAATAGATTAAAGGTTAGATCTATCATATATATACTTATATAGTCTACATGTATGTGTACGTGTGTGCATATGTATATGTGTATTTGTGTATGCACACAATGTCTTACTTTTAAAATAAGATTAGTTCTTTTAACTAATACTAAAGAATTATAGCTTTTGTTAAAATAAGTTAAAAAGAATATATTATTCTGAATTATTTTTTCCATTTGTACACACAGACAAATGAAGAATATATACAAAAATTATACACATTCTATAAATTTAGACGTGAATTGTTTGGACTTTAGTTCAATATTCGATATTATCGTTATTAAAACTTTAGTTCACATTATCATTATTAAGTTCCATATATTTATTCAAATAAAGAGTATATTACACTGAATATTTTGACAAGCACCTAATTGACATTTTTCATTGGTCAGAGCAGAATTGTCACAGCATAACCTACGTAATCCTATCAAATACTCATTGATAGATAAAATGTGTTACCTCGATACCGATACCAGCCTCCAAATCCAGGAAGAAGTCAACTAAGGACCGCACGAGCTTGGCAGCCTTTGCTTTACTAATAAGACTGAGAAATGGTCTGGTGGCTTTGATCAAGTCAGCTAATTCTTTCGCCTTGCCCTCTTTCTTGTAGAGCTCGCCCAGATGCAGAATACCCTGCTCCTTGACACGGATATTGTCCTCGTCATCTTCGGCAACGCCGATACTTGGATCTGAGACGATCTCGTTCAGTAACGAGATTCCCTCGCTGCGGTTTGTCATCGAAACAGCCTGAGCCCGCTCGAATAACATTGCACCGGCCATCTCGAGCGATTAGTGTCGCTTCCTCGCGTAAAAACGTTAATCTCCTCCAACGGCGCAATCTACTGGACACTTGTATTCGCTGACGCGGTTGCAAGGGTTGCAAGGGCTGCAAGGGAAAATAAGTATGTCGCGACACAAAGTTGCGAACCTCAAAGGAAATGTAACGTACGAAGATTCGTCCTGTCGTGTGTATAATTTGTACAGTGTGTAGTGTAGTGTAGTGATCTACACTGCGCGCGGTTTGACGCGGCTGCAATCTCACTCTCGCGTGCACGAGAGTCGCAAGAGTACGTACTACGTACGTTTACGCTCACTTGCGCTTGCTTGCGCTCACAGCACCTTCCGCTCGCGCTTTCCAGCTTGTCACTCTTCACCGCGCTCGCTAACACTCGCTAGATCCTCGATACACCGCAAAACTCATGTCATGCTGCTACGTGAGTCAAATCAATTACTGTCTTGTCATTATACCCATGATGTGAGAAGACAAGGCTGACAAGGGCTGCGTTCAGTAGAGAAAGTAGCTTTGCAACTGTTGTAAAATTCTTAAATATGATTGGTTTATACATTTAATTCCAATTAGAGTCCCTAGATTACTAGAGTCTGACCAATCCTCCATCCTCTCTTGTGATTGGCATACCCACACAATGGCAGTACCAATCGAGAACGTACATACGTTCATATCACCAATTGAGAGCAAACACACATTTCGGATACGCACGCCATTTTTAGGATATTGCCAGATTTTGATGTTCTAGAGACTTTAGATCCAATGAGGAACTAAAGGCAAGACCAATCATATTGAAGAATTTTACACATTTGCAAAGCTGCTTTCTCTGCTGAACGCAACTAAGGGTATCGTTCCATGTACAGAAAGGTTGCAACACCTTTTTTCGATAAGTTTTGGAATGCAATTTGCTCATCGAGCGATTGGTTCTTATTCATGGATTCACAAGAGTGAATTGTGGCCAAAATTTGATTGGCCACAGTTCACTCTTGTGAATTCATGAATAAGAACTAATTACTATTCCAATATATCAACATTATTATACGCAGGTAAGTGGAGAGGCCAAAATTTAGGCCGTAGCACAGACTTTTGCAAAGTGCATAATGCATAGTGCATAAGAGAATCAACCAATCAAAATTTTTCTTTTTTATGAAATGGGAGGAAAGGAAAGATTCTGATTAGTTGATTTGCTTATGCACTATGCGTTATGCGGTATGCAAAAGTCTGTGTTGCTGCCTTTTGATTAATTGTTTCCAGTATTACTATTGCCATTATGCACAATAGTACACCTTGTAATCTTGGAACGGATCTACAATAGGTATTCTAAGCCTTAAACCGTGAGAAATTGACCAATTACAGTCGAATACGAGGAGAATAATTAACAGTGATTTATTTTTCATTTCTTATGGCTTAAGGCTCCGCTAGTCGCGGCGGCCATGTTGGAATCATGACGTCAGAAGCGAAGAATGACACGTTAATTTATGTCGCGTGCCATTTTTAAATAAAGACAATTTGAATGAAACGAAATGACTGATCACTTTAAAATACTTGTAAAAATCAATGAGAACTGTTTTTCCTCCCTTGATAGTCAGTAAATGGTCGTAAAAGGCATATAAAGTGAGTCTATGTTCGGGCAGAAACATATGGTCCGACAGTTGTTCAAATGAGTAAAATATACGCTTTTACATATAAAATTCCAAGATAACTTTAGTTTTCATCGATAATTATGACTTTAATAAGTACGAGACAAGTCACATTTTCACAATTAAGCAAATAATAACGAAATGTCACGCAACATAAATTTCGTCGTTAAAACGTCATTTTTCCACGCCTATAAGTTTGGCTATTTATCGTGGTGCGGCGTTGTAACACAAGCTGTGGGGATACGAGATTCGATTGACGAGTCTGCCTCTCAAGACAAGCCCACGCTTGTCGTATGACGTGATGGAAGGTG